ACCTGTTAAATCTGCATTTGTGGTTTGGGTCATTTGCATCCATTTATGTCATTTCCATAATTCTACAAACTCAGATCCCTGCCTCTTTATATGTGATTGAGATACACATATATCCCAACTGGGTGTGATGGAGCCTTGAAAAATGCTATTAAAAAAGAAAGAGGAAGGGAGGGAGGGAGACAGAGACATACACATTCATTCTTTCCTAATCTCTAGAGATGTTTTCCTTCAAGCTACTAGAGGCTTGGAATCTCAACAAATAAGGTTTACAGAGTTATTATTTAACCTTGGGATTGCAAATACTGGTTAATGACCATGGATTAGTAACTGTCTTCTTTCAGGTATATTACATTGGTCTGCTTTTTCTGTTTTTTTTTTTCTTATTTAGAGGCTTGGAATCTCAACAAATAAGGTTTACAGAGTTATTATTTAACCTTGGGATTGCAAATACTGGTTAATGACCATGGATTAGTAACTGTCTTCTTTCAGGTATATTACATTGGTCTGCTTTTTCTGTTTTTTTTTTTCTTATTTAGAACTCCTTTCCTATGATGTCAGTGCGGCATATAATCAACTGGCTTTATCCATATAATGTTTTGCTAGGGAAGGAAGGCCAGACAGCTGTAGAAGATGCCTTAAAAGTAAGTGTTCACTGAATTAGAGTTCAATTCCTATCCTGTTAAAAAAGATGCTGCAAAAACTTAATTCGGCCTGGAGAGAATATTCCTTCCTTTCCTTGATCTCTGTTTTCTTAATTTGTTGAAAGTTTTAATGTGTTAGAATGTAACAGCCTGTGGATGAGAAATTCATGCTTCCCTGGCACGGAAACATGTTTTGATAAAATATGTTTTCTTGGCTTTACGTTCCAAGAACTGAAATATTCTAAGAGCTTTTTATTCTGCATATATGTTGTTGTGGTTTTACCAAACACATATTCCAGTTATTTTTTTCCTGTGGCTTTTATAGTTTTTGTTTTTATTTTATGGGTAAGAAAGGAAAAATGGTGAAAACTGCATTTGAAAAGACTCTCCAAGTTTCTTTTCTTTATAGAATTCTGTTGAATAAAATAATGATTACATAGTAGCACTTTCTTGAAGGACTTTGTGTTTGTTTAATAGACTAATTGATTAAAATATACAGGTTGATGGTACAGTTCTCTAAAGCAGGAATCAGATTTGGCCTTTGAATGCTTTAGCGACCAAGCTTAAAAACTAAATTTGATTTTATTAAAACAAAGTATATATACAGTGAAGCCTCATTTTATTGGTTCTTGATGCAACAGACTTTGCAAGCAGAGGAACAGATTTCTGCTGTGATTTCCATCATTTGTATAATGACGCCATGACACAAATGACATAATTCCCTGCAATGCCATATTTTCTGATTCAGAGGGCAGTCCTGAGTAATAGACCTCCCCACCCATTAAAATAAAGTTTCACTGTAATTTCCCTATGAGTACTCTCAAGTTGTATATTTAAAATCCATCTCCTTTGCAATAAAAGCTGAAAACTGCTTAAGAAAATTACTTAAGGGCTGCAGCCAAGAATTTCCACGGCCTCCTATAACTCTTGGGCCTTCAACTGCACTCCTCTGATCTAAAAAGATGAACTTTATGCCTCATCTTCAACTTACCAAGTAATTCCTAATGCATCTAATGAGACATATTTCCAAGTTGAGGGCTTAATATTGCATATCCAGTTCTTACCCCATATACAATATTGGCTCATTTGCTTTTCCTCAGAGGAGCTAATTTAAGCATCATACGCCTTATCTCAGATTCTGAAAAATGGTATTATTTAATTTAACCTTTAACAATTGCTTTACACCTCAAAGATGTAAAAAAAAAAATTGTATTTCTTAGCGATTTGAGCTCCAAGATTCCAGAAGATTTTCTGTTCCTACAAATGTTATAAATGTGAAGAAGAGGGAGGATGACAAAAGCTTGCAGGCTGATGTCACCATTCAGATAGCTGGAGAAACTGTGACATTTCAGGTAATTATTTAAAGATTTAATGTGGGGAAAGGATAGAGCTTTTTTTGCCCT